TAACAAAATCATAAAGTGAATTAATAATATTTGTGTTTTTCTCTTTTAAAACTGTAGGATAATTACAAATAATCCACTGACCTCTTTCCTGCCCAGAATAAATAAGAGCTGGGCTGGGGGGTATGCAGGTGGCAGAAAAATGGGATTGGAATAACACATTGATTTAATCCTCTCAAAGAGCCAGTAAAGTCGGGACTGTTAACATTCGTGCAGATAAGGAAAGTAAGAGAGAACAGTTCCATGTGTCTGAGGCCAGTCATCCAGTAAGGGGCAGAATCAGGACTTGAACTCACAGGCGTTCTGCTAAACAGAAGAGCACAGTAAAGGTAACATTGTATCAAAACTAGAAATGAGGGGCAGCGCCTGTGGCTCAGTGAGTAGGGCACCCACCCCATACACTGAGGGTGGCGAGTTCAAACCCAGCCCCGGCCAAACTGCACCCAAAAAATAGCCAGGTGTCGTGGTGGACGCCTGTAGTCTCAGCTACTCAGGAGGATCTCTTCTACTTAGAGAATCGCCTATGCCCAGGAGTTGGAGGTTGTTGTGAGCTATGACACCACAGCACTCTTCTGAGGGCAACAGAGTAAGACTCTCTTTTAAAAAAAAGGTAGAAATGAGGTATTTATCATATGATTAAATAAGCAAATTACTGTTATTCAGTGGTCAGAACAATTAGCTGGATCCAACTGGGACTGCTTGGGACCCGGAATGTTGGGGTGAAGAGAGAGAATGGAACATTGAGGTTTTATGGAAGCCAAGGCATTGTCACTTCTGAGATTTTTAATCATTACTTATAGACATACCCAAAAGATAATATTTAGTTCAACTGAATCAGTCATTAAATCATTGATTTAAACCATCTAGGAAAAAAAAATTAGAGAAAGATGTGGAAATTGGCATTAGTCAGACTTCTTTTTACTATTTTTTGAGACAGAGTCTGTCGCCCTGGGTAGAATGCTGTGGCATGTGTCATTGTAGCTCACAGCAACCTCAAACTCTTGGTCTCAAGCATCCTCCTGCCTCAGCTGCCCAAGTAGCTGGGACTACAGGTACCCAACACAACACCTGGCTAATTTTTCTCAGTTTAGTAGAGATGGGGATCTCACTCTGGCTCAAGCTGGTCTCCAAATCCTGAGCTCAAGTAATCTACCCGCCTCGGCCTGCCAGAGTGCCAGATTATAGGTAGGAGCCACTATGCCTGGCCCTAGTCAAAGTTTTTTTGTTTTTGTTTTTGTTTTTGTTTTTTTGAGACAGAGTCTCACTATGTTGCCCTTGGTCAAGTGCCATAATGTCACAGCTCACTCTTGGGCTTAATCGATTCTCTTCCCTCAGCCTCTCAAGTAGCTGGGACTACAGGAACCCGCCACAGTGCCCGGCTATTCTTTTTGGTGCAGTTGTTGTCGTTTTGACAGTCCCGGGTCAGGTTCAAACCCACCAGCCTTGGTGTTTATAGCTAGGACCCTAACCACTGAGCTACAAGCACCGAGCCACTCTTTGAAATATATTGATACAGATAATTAGTTCTTGGGCTATAATTTAAGGTTACCAACTGCTTAGTGTCATTTTGGGTGTTTTTTGGGGGGGGGAGACAAAATCTCATTTTGTCGCTCTTGGTATAGTGCTGTGGAATCCTAGTTGACAGCAACCTCAAACTCTCGGGCTCAAGCAGTCCTCTTGCCTCAGCCTCTCAGAGTGCTAGGGTTACAGGCACGAGCCACAACACCCTGCTTTTTAACCCTAAAAAAATGTTCCTGAGCCATCAGAAGTTCTTACCCAGGTTGATAAAATATGTGACTCTGAGCATCCATTTGGTGGCCGGGAAGTAAGTGTGAAGTAAGTGTGACACTGTTCACCACCTACCATGCCTCAGAAATGAAAACTTGGGACTGGAGGCCCGAGTGATGAGAAAGGAGAGCGTTACAGGTTCACCGTACATGATACAAGAGATGAGTTCCGAATGTTGTGGAAATGAAAGATTCCTCAATTTGTATTTCTAAAAGCACTCGAGGAGCACATAGTTTAAGGAACTCTTCTGTAAGACAAGTGCTCCTATCTCTGTTTAGTTAAATCCTGTTCAAAAGAGACGGGCTCCAGATTGCTCCTGGACCTGAGGCAGACCAGGTTGGGAGTAAGAGCTTTCAGGGGCTGGATGATAAATGGTCTAATTTCAGCACTACTTGAAGTTTGAAGGAATTACTCAAATTGATCTAGTGTCCGTGTAATACTTTCTAGCTGGATTGACAGTCCGTGTCAGAATTTATAGGGTACTTACTATATACCAGCTACGATGCACAGAATGCCGATGGGACCCTTCTGGGAAACAGAAGGTGATGGCCATGCTGTCAGCCACATCAGCTGAATTCTTCGTGATCCAGAGTGGTGGATGTCCCATCCTGCTCATCCCCTCATCCAATAACTAGGACAGAAGATTTACTCATGCATGCGTATGGCCTCTGTCCTTCTTGGGACCCTAAGGGTCTACCTGGATCAGAACCAAGCAATTGTTAACCCATCATGAGCCAGTGATGAACAGGAGACTTCAATGTAAAAGATGTCAGGATTCTAATCTGTGTCCACTTAATGGGAACCATTCTGGCTATGCCCATAATTAATTAATTTGTGTTTGCTTTTCCCAGTTTTTTTTTTTTTTTTTGAGA